ACTAATCTACCCCGTTTGCATAATTGGTGCCTGATTGCTCTAACTCCCATTTTATAAAATGCAAATAAAAGGAATTTTGTGATATAAGCCTGGAAGGAAACCAGAGTCAAAATCTGTATTTGCAGATGAAATGGAACCTTTTTTCTTTCTCTGGGGATTTAAAAAGAAAGCCCCCAAAATAAATTTTGAGTGAAAAAGCTGATAACTTCTAAAGTGCCATATGAAATGCAAAGCTTTGCATATTGGAAGGGAAAAATTGAACATATTTGGTACAGTTTTAAGCAGCAAATCAGGATCTATCTCATCTGTGAGACCTGTACATGCCTTTGAGCAGCTTTATGAAGATCTTCACTCATGCATGTGTGCCCAAAAAAGCAGTATTTTTGTGCATGTGAGCAAGTAAATAGACTCAAATACAAGCTGTGAGGATATTCACACACAGTATTCATCACCTGCAGAGTCCCAGTCTGTCCCTGCCAAACCAGTTCAAACCAGCATGATTCCAGAGCACAGCAGCAACTCCCACTACATACAGAAAAAAGCTGTCAGGTGACCAAACTTATTTCCTTTACAGTGGAGTGGACACTATCAAAGTGCCTACAACAATGAAAACATTAAGAAGGAGAATTGGGATTGTCTGTCTGTCTTATCTGCTAAGTACAAAGGAAAAGATCTGATAAGGGTCTGCTCCTAGTGTGGCACCACCTCTACAAATGTTCAGTGTGCACTCCTGGATGTGTCCCAGGCTGGATTTCTAGCAGACCAAGGCACAAAGAAGCCCAGAGGATCTGTCCTGTTGTGTATTAATGCTGACAGATGCTCTGACTCTGCCAGTGGTCAGCATCTTATACCCCCAGCAGCCTCCTACAGTTTTGTAGCCTTCAACACCTTGCTGGGTACTCACATCTCCTGTGGTGACTGCAGGGCATTGTTCTGGTTTTGCTGCCTTTCTTTATGTGTCCAGGTCTTCTCTCTCTAAGATTTTATTTGAAATTATTTTTGGTTGGCTGCATTTTTCTTTATTGAGAAGGCAACATATACCACAGTGTGACAATGACAGCTCTTTGCATTTACATAAACCTCTGTTTGGATTTGGTACTTGCATATTTCACAGGATAACTCTTAAAAAAGGGAAGTAGAAACTGGGCATGAACCTTCTATGACTCCAGTTAGACAGGTCCTTCCTGGTACTGAGTAAATATAAGAATAAACTGCAGAAAATAATAAGAGAATTGCAACCCATAATAAGATAAATGCAACCCATTTTAAAGTAGATTGACAAATTGCTTTTAAATTACTTTCTCCCCTTTATTTTTTGCTTGTAAAGACATAGAAAGGAATCCTAGTATTTTGGCTTATTTCTGAAGGAGACTGGAGAGGAAAACTTTTTTTTCTTAGAAATCATATGTCTTGCTGGAGGACTTGTTGAAGGTCTCATGTTTATTGTGAGCTCTGATATTTTAATTGAAAGGACAAAAGTGTTTATTATTTTAAGCAAATAGATCTTTTGTCCTAATTATTTATTAGATATCAGATTAAGTAGGTTTTAAAAGAAAATACTGCAAATCAGAGTGTTTTCAACAAAATTATTAAAATCCTTTCTTTTCTCAGTTGCTCACCTTTAACATTTTATATCCAGTGATATTATAATTACATTAGTTCTCCATTTTTCAGGAGATTAAAAAAACGAACTCTCTGTTTCAAATGTAAAAATCAAGAATTCCCCCAAGCTTATTTTGGTTAAACTCCTGGATAACATTTAAAGATAGAAAATGGTTGGTTACTTGTCAAAGGGAGGAAATTGCACAGTCCTGCTGGATTAAAAAAATGCAGATTTGATCAGTCTACTTGGAAAAAAGAGAAAATAACAGTACTGAATATTTTACTTAATACTATCTGCCATGAGAAATAGAGAGAAAAGTACCTTGAAGTAGAATAGCTTAAAAAGAGCGAACAGCAGGTTTATTCTGCAATAAAATTACATCTAAAATAAAATAGAGTGGCAGAAGACAACAATGGTGAAAACCAAACAAAAGGAGAGAACAGAAACCCAGAGAGAGGAAGAGCCCAGTGAGCTCTGTGCTTTTCAGAATGCTGGGTACATAGTCCTGATTGTTAGATCAGCTTTCTGAAAAGGATATTCACCCTGTATCTAGGAATCAAAAAATTATATCTTTAGGAGGCCTGTGGGAACAGGGGAAATTTCTCATCTAAAGAAGTTAGACCCATTTACAGAATGTGGATATTTTTATTCCTCAGCTTGAATCCTACCAAGGGATCCTGTGCCTTCAGTATTTTGAGTGTTCCTAAGCGTGCCCCAGCAATAAGGGCACACTTGTGAATACTAAATGAGGACTGAATTACCCTCCCTTACACATCCTGTGCCTGAGCCAGCTCGGAAATGAAAGATCATGTCACACATGAAGCTTGAGAACTGATTAATTGTGATAGAATATTTATAGTTCTCATTTCCAGAGAACTGAAAATACCTTAAACAACTGCAATACTAAATTACACAAAAATCATGTAAATCAATGGGAACTATACACAAACAAGGACACAGTGCTGGCTGAGAGGTTCAAGATGGAACTGTCTGTACAAAAATTGCTTAATTCAATATTGATATTGTTAAATGGTTTGCATGAAATTTGGGCCTTACTCAAATCCCTGGGACTTTTACCATGGACTTGAAGTGAGGACAGGGCTTCATTCTCTTTTTGGAAGAGAAAGGAGGACCACAACAGTGTGCCACACTTCAGAAGGAGGAGTATCTCATCCATTTGGAAGAATAGTGGGAATTTCAGATGAAGGGACAGCACTTATCCCAAATACTCCCAAATAAGAGCAGAAAACTGGGTTAACTTGCTGTCTGCGGGGAAAATGTCTCAGGGTACTGAAGAAATGGGACTAAAACCTTTTATCTCCTAGAAGACAGCTCTGCAAAGAGCATGAATGAAGTAGGAAGATCTTATGAACAAAAGTAATATACAAAATTTAGTATCATGTGAATTTCACAGGCAATTATGCTTCCATAAACTTAAGCTTTATTTTTACAAATGGGGATGAAAGCACAGTCTTGAATGCAAGATTGGAAAAGATTAAGAAATTAGAAAATGCTAAGGCAACTGCAGTTCCAATTTCCAATTCTCATCTTATCATGACACACACAGTGAGTGCATTACCCCATTTTGATCCCATTCCATTAGATACTTGTAAGTCTCATGCAGCACTGGTTCATAAAACACAGCTTTTTGGAAACTCACCAAAATGAGCTAATTAGAGAGGACCAAGACAACTTCTCTCTGATGAATGGAGGATGTAATTTAAGAAAATTAGGTAAATGGTGTAAAAACAGTGTAATAAAATGCTCAGATCCATGGTGAGAGTTTTTTCCACAGGATTTCTAGGCTGCTGGTCTTACCCTCAGAAAATGTTGGCCCTCACTCTCTCCCCTAGAAGAGAGGAATGGTCACATCAAAGCAATATCCAAGGATGCAGGTCACCATGAACATGAAAGGTTTGTCATTTTCGCCATGGCTATCCCAGAGGAAATGGAGCCTCACCTTCAGCTGGCAGAACGGGACATAGGAACATTTACATCAGTGATTAGGTAAGGAGTTAAGTTTCCTTCAACACCCACAGTAACCCTGATTGTGGTAAAGAGAGCAGGTACATTGGAGAGGTGTCATCTCACAGCCTTGTGATAATGTGTGTGTTTACCCTGCTCGTTTTTCCCTCCAGTGACATGGACTTTGGGTGTATGGGACTGAAATTCCATTTTGGTGTTCCAGACATCAGGAAATAGCTGTCTGTCAGAAAAGGGGTTCCACTGTCCAGTTGTTTGGTTGCTGGCTAAGTTTTCCTTTCAGGATTCCCATGATGTCCCAAGGTAATACTAGGGACACCCCCAGGTATTAGACATGAAGTAAAAGCAAACAAACATAAAACCTTTCCCACAACTTCTAAACTTCCTTGGAAAGAAAGGATAAATCAATGTGAGATTAAAAAAAAAAGAGAAAAAGATGAAAACAATCACTCTTGATGGCAGAGTATTAATTATAACTTTGTGTGGGTGAAGTTAAAAGCCTGTCTTATGTGTGAATTGGGCGTATCTTCTCCACGAAAGAGTAACTGTGTCTGTGTACAGTCCTGTGAACACCCGAACGAGCAGGTCCACGGCCGTGCTATGGATTTGTGTCCTGTGACTGCCGGTCAGATGCCAGTGTCACCCTCGTGCTTGGGTCGCCATTACACGGCTCTTCCACACTAACCCAATTTTTCCTTCCCTGGTTAGGAATCGTCCCTCTTAATTTCACGAAACCTACAAAATTTTGGGACCCTATATGGCACAGACTTGCAGCTGAGAAGCGCCAGAGGAGGTTGAGCCCTCACGGGAGGGATTCATTCCAATTTGTGGGCAGAGCAGGGGGATGCTGCCCGGCTGCGGGGCTGGCTCTGCCGGGGCCAGCGCCAAACGGGGCTGAGCCGGCCCCGCAAACTCCGCACTCACGGCCCGGTGAACGCGGGCTCGGACCGCGGGAAGGGCGGGACAGAGGGACAGAATCGCCCGCTCGCGTTTCACCGGGCATCCCCGGCGCGGCATCGCCTCCGGTGGGAAGCGCATCCCGGGACCCGCGCTCGGGGCGCGCCGCGGAGGTGGGGCTGGCGGGGGGATCCCGCTGCGGGACAGCCGGTCCGGGACAGCCGCACCCGGGGTGGGCACATCCCTGTCGCTGCTGAGGCTGCCCGGCCGCGGGCGGGGCCGCGTGGGGACACCCCATAACTTCACGCGAAGTTTCCTCGCCGCCTCGTCCCCGTCCGGCGAGGGCACCGTGAGGACGAGACCCCGCAGCCCCGCTCCTCCCAGCGCTGCCGCCGGGGCACATCCCGCCCACCGGCGGGGAGCGGAGGGGCCCGGGGCGCGCCCACCGCCCCGCCCCGGCCGCCGCCCCCGCGCTGCCGCCTGGCAGGGCGGCGGGAGCCGCGGGAGCTGCTCGGTGCCGCCGCCGCCCGGGAGGGAGGTTATGTAAGGGGGGAGGGAGGCGGCGGGAGGAGGAGCAGGACGGCTCTCGCCGCCGTGCAGCCGCCGTGCAGCCGCAGCCAGCCGGGCCCGGGGCGGCCGCATGTGCGAAGTGGGGACGCGGCCGCCGCTGGCCGCCGAGCGCGGGGAGCCGCCCGGGGGAGCCGCCGCCGCCGCCGAGAGGTGCCGAGACATGGGGTGAGTGCGCCGGGCCCGGCCCGCGGGGGCTCCGCGTCCCGGCCCCGCCGCAGGTGCGGAGCGGGGAGAGCGCGGCCGCCCCGAGAGCGCTGCCCTGAACGGCAGCGTTTGATAACGTAATTAATCATTTGATAGCGTAATTAATCATTGCCGCCCGCTCGGGAGCCGCCGACGGAGCGGGCACGCCGTGGGGGCAGAGCACCGGCGGCGAAATCCCCGCTGGAAGGAGCGGGAGCAGCTCGGCATGCGGCGGAGCGGGGCCGAGTCCGGTCCGTGCCCGGTCAGCCGCGGGATGTGCCGCGAGTTCATTGTCAGATCTTTCACTCGCTGCTTCTGCCGGAGCTCTGGCTGCTGGAGGCACACGGTAAACTTGCCTGGATTGTGCCAGGTGGTCCCTAATTTGTGTAAATTTTTTTCCCTTTAAATTTTTTTTAACATGCCAGAAGTCTCTGACCACGTGTGGTGGCCTCTTGGAGAATTCAGCTTGGTCTTTCCAAAAATTAATCCTGCATTTTTGCTATCCTCTAACTTATATGAGGGGACAAAAGACAAATGCTGGCATTTGGGCAATTTGTGAACTAAATATCAGAGAAGAGAGGTTAAGGTTGTGCCTTTGGCTTGAACTATATATAGGTTTGAGATCCTCTCGACCAGAATGTCTTGGGGGATTCCAAACCCACACATTTAATTTACTTTATTTTTATCCTATTATGTTCTCTTACACCTTTTCCTTGCCTCTCCTCACCACCATGTGGCAAGGAATCATTCTCCAGTTTCTGAGCTTCCTCTGCTGCTTTCAAATGTCCAAATTTCCACTGTGGATTTGTTAATTGTTGTCGAATTGTGATACAATTCGAGGCTGTATGGTTAAATAATGAATTAAAATGACATGCACATGTCTAAATTTGATACCCAGGAGTACTGAATAGAAGTACAGGGGCAGAGGGAGAAATAGGATCTAAGTGAGTATCTCCCCATGTTTCTCTTCAGGATTACAGGGGCTCATCTGCTTCTTAATTATGCAAAGTTTCACTGGAAGATAAAAGAGAAACTATCCTTGGGGTTGGAGAAAGAAGTATTGAAACCTGTTTGGAGCAGCACTGCCCCGCAGAGTCCAGGATGATCAGAAACATCCATCCACGGAAACTTGCCTCTGTCTCTCTGCCTGGGTGCCTCTAAAGGCAGATATTTTAGTTGCTGTCATTTTTAACTGGTTCCATGCTGGTAGATCAGTTTAGCTGTGGTTTGGAGAGCTGAGTGGAAGGTCACAGAGCTCTCCACCCCTTCTGTCAGCCAGGTGGAGTTCTGGGCTCGGTGTGGTCCTGCTCTGCCTCCGGAGCTGCTCAGGCTAGGAAGGACTTTGGCTGCAGAGGCTGCTGAGAGCTCTGGCTGTGCTGCTGTCTGTGCTGCTGCATGCAGTGTCAGAACGTGCAGGCTTGCACAGGGAGCAGGCACGTTCACTAGCCCAGCTTAGCACCCTGATTTAATGTGTGTCTCAGTCTCTTCAGCCTTACCCTGGTGCGTGTGAGATCAGGCTCCCAGTGTCATTCACTCCCCGGGTTCCAGCGTGGGTTGTGCCTTCTCTTGCACTCTCTGTACGAAGTTCAGACAAGGTGTTTGGTGAATATGCATTTTCCCAGTGTCTCACATAATTATCTTGCCATTCACCTTTCTGATCCAGAGAGCTTGGAGGCACATTTGTGATAGCATTACTGCAGCTGTGATAGCATTACTGAGCACACATGACACAGGAGCAGCCTCCCCAGTTTTCTTCCGGTTCCATCTGTGCTGCAAATCCCTCACCTCTGCATGCTCCAGCTTGTCCTTCTGTACTCATGGGCACCTCTGTGCTCAAGCAGGTTGTGGTCAGAACACAGAGCTCAGTCATTCTTACTTGGATGAATATATTTTGGCCCAGGCATTTGAGTGGGATTTGCTTCCTGGGCACATTTTGGTGTCACATATGGGGGATGTACTCATGGAAATTGTGGCAATGACTTGATTCTTAGCTCTTAAAATATTTTTTCTTTTACTTTCCTTTTTTTTCTTTTTCCTGGGGGTGACCATTGCTAATGATTCATTTAAATGCTGCCTATGGATTTGGCAGTGACTGATCGTGCTATGAAACCTGATACAGCTACTTGAGCTTAGCAAAGCAAAGCTATTTAAATTGCTTATTAGCTGTGAGCTGAGCTATTTAAACTGTTGGTTTAGTTCAACTCACTAGGCAGCAAGGTAGTGTCAAGTTTTACAATTTATATGTTTTTAAAAAAACCTAATGCCTGTAATACAAGGGACATGAAAACAACCTTGTAAAAAAGTCACCAGGAAAAAAAAAATCTGCTCCAGTGTCCATAAAAGTCAATGTGAAAGTTGCTGCTGACTGAAAATCACTGTATTTTGGTCAAGCCACTGTTAAGAATCTCACTGGACAAATGTCTGCTTTGAAGGGAATGGATCTTTTCCCAAATTACTTCTTTCTTCTACCCAGCATATCTGCTCACTGCTGTTACCTCAATCCTCTCAAAGTTTAAACTTCAGCTATTTGAAAACCACAATGTAACACACTTCCAGCTGTAGAAATCTGTGTCTGAAAATACCTCCTGCTTTGTCTCTTGCTGTTGCAAGCCAAGGGCTGACACAATCAAGGAAGTGTCTCTGATGTTAGTGGGCTGTACCTACTCATCTGATAGCTGTGGTCTGGCTCACCATGACCTCAGTTTCAGCAGCCCAAGTTAAATTTACAGTTATAAGGATGCTTGTGGTTTTGGTATTAGCTGATTTTAAAAGGTGTTGGATAGCTGTTTCATCTGTGCCTAAATTCTTTTGTTATTTTAATTTCTTTACTATCTTTGTATTTCCTTATCTATCCATAACAAATCATTTCTGTTATGAAGTGTATGACAAGTATCCAGTTTGGATTAGACCTGTAAATCTCTTCACTGCTGAAGCTGATATTTATATTATCTGTTGGATTAAAACTCAACTGATTTAAATGCCCTCTAGCATTAAAATTGTGTTTTAGTTCTGTTTTATAAATCATATCAAAATGACAACCAGGTCTTTGAGTGTTAGAAATAATTGCAGAAAGCTGTAGGACTGTAGAAGTGTGTGTGATACAGGTTAACGATGAACTAGCTCACAGCACACCTTTCTTTTGGCTGACATGAGATGTCTTCTTTTTGCTGCTTCTTCTGGGGCTAGTGGGGTAATTTAGTCCCCTGCAGCTGGGATCCATCCATAACTCTCCAGGTGAGCATTGAGCCAAGCCCCAGGAAGTTTGGAAAAGGCAAAACCTGTGAGGGCAAGGTTTCCAAGCCTGGATCAGGCCATGAAGGACCCTCATCTTAAGGAGCTTGGTCTGTTGAACAAAACTCTGTTCCCTCTGTGATACTGTGATATATTCACAGAAAGGTGCTGTATTGCTGAGGGTGTCCATACATGATGTTTTTATTATGCACTGACATCTAAGAGCTCAGGGAAAGCTGCCTTGATCTCCTTCCTCCTGCTGCCAACAGTGCCAACATCCATCGGCCAACACGTGGCTTTATTTGGGGAGTAAAAGGCAAAACCTGATGTGAGAGCAAGGAGTGAAGGAGATAAACAAAGGAGAACATGTGATGAGGCTCATGTTACAGGAAGGCAGTAATTTTGGAGGGTGTTCACTTTCTGGTACCAGCAGCACTTTAGAAACCATGGTGACAAGCTGAGCCTGAAAAGCTCGGTGGCAGGGATGGTGTTGTTGCAGAGGAAATTCACCTTGGCTTTCCTCCAGCTCCCACTGAAATCCACGGGAGCCTCTCACCAGCTCCCTCCAAAGTTTGGCCAGGCCATCTGTCTGCCAGGGCAGGGGCAGGCAGGGAATGGCACCTGGCTGTCCCTGCAGTCCCTCAAAGCAGGCTGGGACAAGAGTGTGCCTGAACACAGCTGAGTTGGTACTCTGAGCTCAGGGACTCTTCTTTTGAGATTTCAAGGTCAGCAGCTTAAGTTTGGTTCCTAGCATAGCTCAGGGGGGCAGATTATATCCAGCTGGTGGTGGTTTTGGTGTTCAGGGAAAGGGACTGAGCTCTGATAGGTGCTGAGACTGCTTATCTCATATTTTTGAAGCTTGATTCTTCACAGCCTTGGTTCCTGACATGGCTATTTCCATTGTGCAGGGTAGATATAAATGGATGTTACTCTGACTTGGAGGATTCTGTGTCTGTGTACAAATACAGTCTGTACAAGAATCTGTGGAAAAGTCAGGTCCAGAGAACTTTGTGTTCTGGAGCAGTATTTGGGTTCACTGAAACGGTGAGGAAACTCCATTGACCTCAGCAGAGTGTAGTCCCTTATGTTAAACTCATTTATGCAAGGTCAGAGAGGCAGGGAGCTTGGTGGGGTGGGTGGAAAAGAAAGGGCCAAACAGCTGGGGCCTCATAGTGATTTGTGGGTGTTTTGAGTTTTGGTGTGGCTGGATTCAGGTGAGTGAACAAACCTGTAACAGTTTTTTGTCCAAGTGACTTCACCTCTCACAACTATGTGAGGGTTCACAGCACTGCAGACACATGTATGAAACTGAATTTATGAAGTCTGCTACAGATAAATTCACTAAATTATGAGAGGAGAAATCTGCCAGTACCACAACTAGTTTGAATGTTCTGCTGCAAATTTCCCAGGCATTTGCTCATGTAGAAAGAGTGGACAGAAGGAAAACTTGATACCAAGAGTCGTGAGTTACATTGCTTTCAGCTGCTAACCTAATTAATTACCACTGTTAATTTAATTATCACTTGAGAAAAATCTTATAAATAAAATATTCTCCACAAAGCTGGGATGTCCCTCAAGCCCTTCTTTCTATTTGAAAAGAGAATGGTGAGTAGGTCTCCTGATAACAAAGGCATAATTTAAATTCTTTTTAAATGAAAACATTCTTTTAAAATGTTAAAAGGAATTATTTGATGTTCAGTTCCTTTAAACTGAAACTTTAACTGATCCAGGATGTGGTCAAGTGTTTCAAA